CTCCCAAGTAGCTGGGACCACAGGCGCCCGCCACAATGCCCGGCTAATTTTTGGGTGCAGCCATCATTGTTGTTTGGTGGGCCCAGGCTGGATTCGAACCTCCCACCCTGGGTGTACATAGGTGGCGCCTTAGCCACTTGAGCCACAGGCACTGAGCCAATGGAACTGATTTTTTAAAAACTAAATTAGGCTTGGCACCTGTGGCTCAGTGAGTAGGGCGCCAGCCACATATACTGGAGCTGGTGGGTTTGAATCCAGCCTGGGTCTGTCAAAGAACAATGACAACAAGAACAACAACAACAAATAGCCAGGCATCATGGTGGGCACCTGTAGTCCCAGTTTCTTGGGAAGCTGAAGCAAGAGAATCGTTTAAGTCCAAGAGTTGGAGGTTGCTGTGAGCTGTGATTTCAAAGCACTCTACCCAGGTGTGAGCTGTGAATTCATGGCACTCTACCCAGGGCGACAACTTGAGACTCTGTCTCAAAAAAAAGCTAAATTAGATCATGGGTTGTCTCCTTTTAGGTTCATAGAATCCAAAGCCTTCTCTTGCTGACACTCCCTCTGTGACACAGCCTCCCACTGTGACTTTTTCAGAAACCACCCTCCTCGGGCCATTCTTTACCAGCCACACTAGTTCAATTTCTGTCCTTCAAACACCACAAACTTACTCCTACCTCAGGGCTTTTGCATCTGCTGCTCACTCTGCCTGGAATGTGCTGGAACCCACCCATTATCTGTGTCACCTTGGGAAAGTGAATTAGCATGTCTGAGCCTCAGTTTCCCTGTGAAATGGGGAAAAGAGCCTCCTTGTGTGGCTTCAATAAGCAAAGCATAAAAAGCACCACCCTGGGCCTGCTGGTGTAAAATGCTCAGTGCTATTTATTGTTAATATCATTTCATCCAACAATGCCTAATTGGATCTTTTTTTTTTTCCTAATTGGATCTTTTTAGAAGAAATACAAAGTGGAGACAGAAATTGAGAACTGGATCCAGAAATATGATATAGAGATGAGTGAAAAGCAGGTACGTATCACTGAGTAAGTCTGTCTCAAGTGATTTTCCCAAGATCCTGGGGGGAGTGGGAGGAATGGGAGAAGCCCAAGGATGATCCAACGGATTGGAACTTCTGAGCCTTCCCAGAGAGGCCCCAGAGCTGCCTGTGGCAGGGTCCTTCCAACCCTTCCCTTTGCATCCAGGATTTGTCCAGCCAGGAGCAGAGGGCAAGAGGTGGGGAAGGAAGGAGGCACAGCTGTGAGCCACTAAAACAAGTGCCTGACACTCAGCCTAACATGTTTTGTCCACATCCCACACTCAACTCCTGCCTGTACCCCACAGGCCTGTCACCAACAACCCACATACCTCCTGCCAACCCTGCACTCAGGTCACTCAGCCAGTTTTTACTGAGTTCCTGGGACACACCAGGGCCTGGGATACAGCAATGAAGAAAGGACAGTCCCCATTATCATTTGAAGATTCCACTCTAGTCACTTAACAGCTCCATGACCTCCAGCTCTATGACCTTTCCCAGACCATTTCTGCATCTAGCAACACAAATAGGAATATTCATCTTACAACCATGGTGGGGAGTCAGTGAGGTGTTCTTGTCTATGTCCAGTACAGGGTCTAGCCTGGAAAAAAAGCGCTCAGGGAAGGGCGGTGCCTGTGGCTCAAAGGAGTAGGGCACTGGCTCCATATGCTGGAAGTGGTGGGTTCAAACCCAGCCCTGGACAAAAAAAAAGCGCTCAGGGATTGACAGCTGCACATGGGGATACCCCCAAAGATGTCATTCACCTCTGGGATAACACTGGTGGCCTGTGGTCCTGACCTGGGGGCCAGGGAGGCCCAGGAAGTACTAGAGGTGACCTCAGCCTAATTGATCCAATGCCTGGTATGCTTTTCAGAGAGCAGCAAGTCGGGGCCTTACTCTGTGACCTGAATGGCGCAGGGAGGGGAGATTTGCAGGCTGGCACTCTCGATTCTCTGGCTCTTTTTTTTTTTTTTTTTTTTTTTTTTTGGAGACAGAGCCTCAAGCTGTCCCCCTGGGCAGAGTGCCGTGGCATCACAGCTCACAGCAACCTCCAACTCCTGGGCTCAAGCGAGTCTCCTGCCTCTGCCTCCCAAGTAGCTGGGACCACAGGCGCCCGCCACAACGCCCGGCTATTTTTTGGTTGCAGCCGTCATTGTTGTTTGGCGGGTCCGGGCTGGGGATTCGAACCCGCCACCTTAGGTGTATGTGGCTGGCGCCTTAGCCGGTTGAGCTATAGGCGCCGAGCCGATTCTCTGGCTCTTTTAAAGGGCCAGGGGTTCCTTGCTGGCAGAGACTCTGTCCACACCGTTCTGTGTCCTCTGGAAGTGCTCTGCTTATGGTAGATGCTTGTTAAATGTTAGAGGAGGGAGAAAAAATAGGTATAAATTATAGCAGGAGAGCCGGCAGTTAGACATAAGGAAGAACTCTGGGACTCAGTGTGGGACCTGAGAAAATTCTTTCTACCCTTGGTATCTTTATGAAACTGTTTCCATGGCAGAAGCTTCCATTTCTTGTGCCCCTACTGGGTGCCTGGCACCAAGTCCAGTATATTGTGTCCATGAAGTCATTCAATCCTAGAAACAGCCCGTAGGCTTGGAATTCTCCTATTTCAGATGAGGGAAAAGGAAGATCTGAAAGCTGAGGTCCCTTGAGGTGTGGTGGAAACGGGGTTTAAAACTGCCCTACTCACAAGCCCATGTGCTTTTCATGTCCATGGAGTTATTTCACTGGGGTGTACCCAGAGCCAAGATAGACCCTGTCCCCTCTCTGATCTCGTCAGGGTGTTACTATGTGGAAAGGTTTATCTCCCGGCACATTGCTGGAGCATTTGGGAGGGGTGGAGGGCACTCTGCCTGGCAACCCAGCCCCACCCCTCCCCCAGGAGGAGTTTGAGGAGCTGGACCTCATCCACAAGGAGGAGAAGGTGCAGCTGGAAGAGCTGAAGCAGAGGCACGATGTGCTGGTGGAAGAGTTTGCGCAGATCCAGGAGGAGCGGGAGATCAACTCCAAGAAACGGATGGAGGCCGAGCAGGAGATGGTGCGCATGGTGCGTGCTGCCACTCTCATCCAGGCCGTGTGGAAGGGCTACCTGGTGCGCTCCCTGCTCAGATCCAAGAAAAAGAGGAGGGGCAAGGGCAAGGGCAAGGACAAGGACAAGGACAAGGAGAAGGGGAAGGACAAGGAGAAGGGGAAGGACAAGGAGAAGGGGAAGGACAAGGAGAAGGGGAAGGACAAGGAGAAGGGGAAGGACAAGGACAAGGGGAAGGACAAGGACAAGGGGAAGGGGAAGGGCAAGGGGAAGGGCAAGAAATGAGCCTCCCCCTGGAGCCCTGCTCTTCACCCCAGCACTCACTGTGCCCTCATCCTCCCAGGGATCAGTCCAGAAAGCCACCAGAATGGATGACCCTGCCATTCATGGCTTTAACTATCTTTTTAAATTTGAAAACATTTTAAATCACATTAAAAGGAATAGCCTACAAGTAAACCTCACTTTACCCAAGGCTGTTGGCTATGTGTGTGTGTCCACCAGGGCAGATCCTGTTTCCACAAGGAGTGTGGAGGCCAGGATGTCAGCCCACAGATAACAATTTCTTACTTCCGCCTCTGCGGGGTAACCAGACCCCAGATGCAGCCCGCTCCATCCCAGCCCAGAATCAGCCATGGCTGTGACAGACACATTACCCACCTGGGTGGCAGGTATAGGTCACAGCTGAGGAGTAGGCTGCCCACTGCCCTGCTCTGGGATTATCAACTTGCCAGGAGCTCCTCCTGCCTTCAGCATGGTGAGCGCTCAGGAATCATTCCAAGGTCATGGGGCCAGCAGCCTCACACTGGCTTTACTTGTTGCCCAGGGATTTTAATTAGTTACTAATATTTAAAAAATCAGGGGCTATCACATATCCAGGTTTCTGTCTTTTCTGGAAAAAATCTCATCATCTAGAACCCCCCCACGTGCATGTCTTCCAAAGCTCAGCAGCTGCATGCCCCTGTAGGTGGTTCAGAGGTAGCAGGTTGCCAGTCCCCACTGCTCCCACCTACCTCCCAGACACCCCACAAAGCCTGGTGTCAGCCCATAATATCACACGCTGGCTATTGCCAGCTTTTACTATAGCTGGGAGGAAAGTGGGTTACTTCTGGCCTTCCCATGTCTATTAAAACACAGGGGAAGGGAGAGAAGGCCAATGAGAGGTGGCTATTTGAAGAAAAACCGTGTATATTTTGGGAGGTGGTACCAACTTGTGTGTTTTAGGAGTTTAAACATTCTAATATTTAAAACACAAAGCATGTGTGCGCATGAGAGTGTAGCTGGGCTGCCTACCTCACTGCATATTGGATCCTGCAAGTGTTTACATGTGTGTCACTGGTCCTGGTCACCATGGGTCCCTCCTCAATAGTGTCCACTCTACCCTTCTCCAAGGCAGAGATAACAAACCAGTGATGTGGCTTCCAACTGGGCTTTCTGGCATCCTGGTACTCCCTTGTACCTGAGGAGAAGATGGGGCAAGGAGAGGTCCGAAGCCCAGCTTCCACCCCACCATATCAACCAGGGCAGGATGCCAGTGTTCTGGGTGCAATGCTACTTGGGCAAAGGTTTTGCTATTTTTCATAAGCCCAGGGCTCCACCCTAACTGCTCTCCAGATGCACTTGTCACTGTCTGGCCTTCTCAGAACTTAAAAAGAAAACAAAAAAGCTACAGTCCAGTCCATATTCTGAGTTCAGGAAGAGCCACCCAACCCATCAGTTGGGGCATTAGCTGAAAATTGATGGGAATGGAAAGAGAAGCCCAGCATTGCTCTAGGCCCATGTTCCCAAACTCCAGTCACCCAGTTGCCACTGCCATGATCTCTGCCACACCCTTGCACTACCTGTTACATTATTTAACTTTATTATTTAAATCAACTCAGGCCTAACAATGGCCTTTGCCCTATGGAAAAAGGAATTAGGAACACTTGTGGCTTTGATGAGCTACTGATATATTTAATACATGAAAATAAATACATGACAATTAAAATGAGAAAAATGTTCACCCACACTTCATCCAGATGCCACACACTGCCTGGGAAAACTCTTGAGGCCTCCAGACTCAGCTGGAGACTAATCCTGAGCATAAAGCTTGTCTTGAAGAGAGGTAAGGGCCCCTCCAGGTTGGCAATCTCACGATTTCCTATATTGGTAGCAAGACAACATGAGGCAGAGGTGGAGGGCCCCTGGGTTGGCACTGAGAAAGGACTGGAGAGAGGCATCTAAAGGGGAGGCCCCCAAAGGGAGCAACCAAAGATTGTCAGGATAAAAGGAGGTACTACCCACCTCTGCTGTCTGACCTCATGGGGCTTCTTCAATGCATGGGTTACCTAGATGATAACAGGTCTCCCCAGAAGACACCAGCCAGGGGCTATACCCTCAGTGACCCCATGGGCAACCCTGATGAAAGAACCTCATTTCCAAGGTGGCTTTGGTTTCTGGGTAGCCCCACCCTGCCGGGGGGTAGCTGGCACTGAAACACTGACCAAGCGAGCCCTGGGAGTTACCAGGGGGCTCCGGAAGGTCACCCCTGACATGGAAGGCCTGGGATCCTGAGGTCCATTTGTATGGAGGACGCTGGTGGCTGGGTGACCAGTGCTGGGGATATTCAGGTGGGTGAGAGAATGGGAACGTCCCTGCCTCAGAGGATGTGCAGGGTCTAAACCATCCACAGACAACTTCCTGGAATCTACTAACACCCTGGGTTCTGCCTTTGAGGGATCAGAAGGGTGAACAGCTCGCAGTGGGGTCTCCCTGGAGCGGGGTGAATGGTTTCCCCTGGGGGTAGCAGGTGGCGTCCAGAAGAGGGCATGGAGTTTCGCAGCATCCCCCTTGGTCATCCACGGGGCCTCCTGGCTGGCACTCTCAGATCGGAAGCCAAACAATGACTCATCACAGTAAGATGGAGTGTGGCTGATCAGTCTGGTGTACAGAAGAGAAACACAGTGAGCTGGGGGATGAGCAAGGCCTAAATAACCTTGCCCTTCCCCCAACCAGATACCTACATCAGCAGACATACGCTACTGTAGATTCTAAGAGTTCTTGTCCTCTGGGACTGGCACCCTGGGTGAGATTGCCTCTCATGTACCACTGCCCCATCTCTGTTCTTTTTCCCTTGTACCTGTCCCAACTCCCTGGGATGTAACCGGGGCCTGGCCAATCCGCACATAGTATTTTCCTGGCCACAGTTACTGGTTTAGGAATGGCCAGATGGCCCAAGGTTGTCCAATCAGTCTGCCTTAAGATTTCAACAGAAACTACTAGGAAAGAGATGTTTTTCTGCTAACTGGCCTTGCTCCTTGCTCAGCTGACAGGATATGAGCCCAAAGCAGCTTGAAAGCCACGTCTTACCAGAGATCAAAGGACATATAGGGAAAGCAGCACTGAGATGGAGACAGTCCCAATGACAGTTTCAGCCCATTGCATGAGCCCCAAATGCCCTTTTTTTGGGAAAGCCAGAGTAACTTTTCTGTCACTTGCAACCAAGAGTTCCAATTAATTACTCTAACCTTACTCTTTTTTTTGAGACAGAGCCTCAAGCTGTCCCCCTGGGTAGAGTGCCAAGGCATTACAGCTCACAGCAACCTCCAACTCTTGGGCTCAAGCGAGTCTCCTGCCTCCCCCTCCCAAGAAGGTGGGACCACAGGCGCCCGCCACAACGCCCGGCTATTTTTTGGTTGCAGCCGTCATTGTTGTTTGGCAGGTCTGGGCTGGGGATTCGAACCCGCCACCTTAGGTGTACGTGGCTGGCGCCTTAGCCGGTTGAGCTATAGGTGCCGAGCCTCTAACCTTACTCTTTACAGCCTTCATATATATATATTTTTTTTACCCACCACTTTTTCTTTTCCCTAAAGGCCTTGTCAGCTGAATTCTCTGCAGTCCTATGACCCCACCTGCTATAGATGAAATGGCTGAACACAGTGCCTGGCATGTACCAGGTGAGCAGCTTGGTCTTCTGGTATAAAGCTGAACTGGCCTCACCACCAGAGCAGCTTTTTAAAATTCTAAATATTTACTGAGGGCTTTTCATTTGCAGGCCTAGAGCTCAACATGTCACATGCATTATCGCATAATTTCTTACAATATCTACATATCCAAATTAACCCTATTTTACAGATAAGGAAAATAAAGGATAGGTAGGATAAGGCCTCACAGCAAGAATGTGGTCTAGAGAAGATTCAAGGATCGAATATCAATTGCTAAAGCAGATAGAAGTCTTCTCTAGGCCTTTTTTTGAGTCTTTTTTTTGAGAGTCTCAAGCTGTCACCCTGGGTAGAACACCATAGCATTACAGCTCACAGCAACCTCCAACTCTTGGGCTTAAGCAATTCTCTTGCCTCTGCCTCCCAAGTAGCTGGGACTACAGGAGGCCACCACAACGCCTGGCTATTTTGTTGTTGTTGCAGTTGTCATTGCTGTTTTAGCTGGCCTGGGCAGGGTTTGAACCTGCAGCCTCAGTGTATGTAGCCAGCACCCTTACCCACTGAGCTATGGGCGCTGCTTAGGGCTCTTATCTTTAATTAGATTCATTCACCAACACTTCATTTTTTTATTAATTCAACAAACATTCACAGCTTACATACAAGCTTACCACCCATACTTGTGGTATTGGGCCAGGACTGTTTCTATCCCCAAGTCATTGATGCTGATGTCTTTCTGGAGTTAAGGTTTTTCCTCAGTAACTTCCCTATCTCTTGTGCATCCCTCAACTTATCAGCATCTAGAACAGTGGTTCTCAACCTTCCTAATGCCATGATGTGTTTTCATTGTTACAAAGGGGTTGAGACCCACAGGTTGAGAACCGCTGATCTAGAAGAAAGTTCTATCTTCTTCTATGGCAGTCAACCACGGAGTTGACTGCCTCCTCCCTTATCTGTTAATGAAGCCTACATTTGTTTTCTTTTTTTTTTGAGACAGAGACTCAAAGTTGTCCCCCTGGGTAGAGTGCCGTGGCATCACAGCTCACAGCAACCTCCAACTCCTGAGCTTAAGTGATTCTCCTGCCTCTGCCTCCTAAGTAGCTGGGAAAACAGGTGCCTGCCACAATGCCCAGCTATTTTTTGGTTGCAGCCATCATTGTTGTTTGGTGGGCCAGGGTGGATTCGAACCCATCATCTCAGGTGTATGTGGCTGGTGCCTTAGCCACTTGAGCCACAGGCACTGAGCCAATGCAGCCTACATTTCTTTTTCTTTTTCTTTTTTTTTGCTGTTTTTGGCCACCTCTGGTATATGGGGCACAATGCCCTACTCCTTTGAGCCACAAGCACCGCCCTGCAGCCTACATTTCTATCAATGTTTCTAGCCACGTCATGGGAGTAAATGTCAGCGTTACTAGTCTCAACCTGACCCTGCCTTGTGGTCTACAAAATCATCAAGTACACTGCTCTCAACCTGATATAATAACTGATTATTGCTTTTACTTCTGTTGAATTTTATCTTTTATTTTATTATTTATTTATTTTTTTGAGATAGATTCTCAAGCTATTGCCCTGGGTAGAGTGCCATGGCATCACAGCTCATAGCAACCTCCAACTCGGACACAAGCAATCCTCTTGCCTCAGTTTTTCTATTTTTTTTTAGTAGAGAACAAGGTCCCAGTTTTGTTCAGGCTGGTCTCCAACTCATGAGTTCAAGCAGTCCACCTGCCTGGGCCTCCCAGAGTGCTAGGATTACAGGTATGAGCCACTGTGCCTGGCCGAATTTTATCTTTTTTTTTTTTTTTTTTGAGACAGAGCCTCAAGCTGTCCCCCTGGGTAGAGTGCCATGGCATTACAGCTCACAGCAACCTCCAACTCCTAGGCTCAAGCGAGTCTCCTGCCTCCGCCTCCCAAGTAGCTGGGACCACAGGCGCCCGCCACAACACCCGGCTATTTTTTGGTTGCTGCCGTCATTGTTGTTTGGCAGGTCTGGGCTGGGGATTCGAACCCGCCACCTTAGGTGTACGTGGCTGGCGCCTTAGCCGGTTGAGCTATAGGCGCCAAGCCTGAATTTTATCTTTTAATAGGTACTATTTCCATTCTTTTTCTCTCAATTGATATATGTCCCCTCCTGGTTCATAACAGACCCTAAATTTAGTTGGCCAGTTGTCATGGACTGAATTGAATCTCCTTCCCCAAATTCATATAATGAAGCCTAACCCTAAGTGTGATTATATTTGGCCTTAATTACCTACATTAAGTTTAGGTAATTAACGCTAAATAGATTATAAGGATAGAGCCCTAATCCAACAGAACTAGTGTCCTTATAATAGGAGGAAGAGACACCAGGTCTGTACGCATGCATAGAGAAAGGTCACATGCAAGGTCATGGTGAGAAACTGGCCATCTGCAAGCCAAGGATAGCAGCCTCAATCCCATTAGGTAGGGACCACTGGTCTTGTTTTCCACATGAAAACTGCAGCTCTGGGGTGCTTCCCCAGATTACAGCAAAGGTGAACAAGGCAGTAACAGGAACCCAGGTGGCTACACCAAGCCCAGAAGTCAATCTCCCCACCCTATTACCTGTATTTGTTCTTCTTTCTTGGTGTGAGGGTTGGGGTGCTGCCCCTGGAGACAGTGGTCTCACCATTCCCCTTGGCCCCCAAGGCTTTCGATGTCCCTGTGCCCACTCCTCTGGTTCTATTAGCCTTCTCTACCCAAGGTGGGTCAAAATCTGGTGGGGCAGCCCGGGTGCCTGCAGGGCTGCCAAACAGAGTCTCATCCACGTACGATGCCCTGGCCTTGACTCGGCAGCCACCCCGGCAGCGGTGTTGAGGGTGAAGGGTCTGCATCCCACTGATGGCCAGCTCCATGGGGTTCTTCATGCTGCCTGTGGTCTCAGATGAGAGCAGGTATGCTCTGCCTGCCAGGCCCTGCCTCCATGGCTCCCTGTGAAAGAGGGTCAGGGGACACCCCTAAGCCAACAGCAGTGTGAGTGGAGGAAGACTGGCAGTCTCTCAAGTCCACATTCCAAGGGCAAAAGGGTCTTGTTCTCCCTCAATCAATCCCCCTCAAAGGGGAGCTGTCAACCTCAGCGGACATTTAGGAATTTTTTTTTTTTTGAGACAGAGCCTCAAGCTGTCCCCCTGGGTAGAGTGCCATGGCATTACAGCTCACAGCAACCTCCAACTCCAGGGCTCAAGTGAGTCTCCTGCCTCTGCCTTCCAAGTAGCTGGGATTACAGGCACCTGCTACAATGCCTGGCTATTTTTTGGTTGCAGTCATCATTGTTGTTTGGTGGGCCCGGGCTGGATTGGAACCCGCCACCTTAAGTGTATGTGGCTGGTGCCTTAGCCACTTGAGCCACAGGCGCTCAGCCCGACATTTAGGAAATTAATGCACTTCCAACATCCAGTGTGTCCTGAACAAATAAACAAATATTTACTTAATGACTATGAGTGTGAAGAAGATGGTACCTATTTGGCACCAACCAGAAACAAACTATGGTGCAAGAGAAAGACAAGACATTTCCCTATATCTTGTATATCATGTGGGATTTATAGGGGGTGGGGACAATAACAGCCAGTATTGATCTCATGCCTACCTCGTGCAAAGAGCTTTATAAACATTGTCTCATTTAATCCTTTTAACAGCACTGCGAAGTAAATTGATTTTGTCCATTTTATGAATCATAAAACCGAGGCTTCAAAGGCTGAAGTCACATGTATGGGTCACACCTGCAAAGCTAAAACAGTGAAATTGGAACCTGTTAGGAATCCAGAGCTTGTGCACTTTACTCTGCTATTGGGAGATCGCGCGCCTCCCCACTACCACCCTACATTCTGTAACTCCTAAATCAGTGGCCCGGTTAATGCGCGCGGCCCCTGCATTCTTGAGCTATTATTCCCCTACCTGCGCATCTTGGCTCATGGGTGTCAGATATAACCCTCGGCGACGCCTCCCCGCGCCTCTCTTCCACCGGGTTTGTGCGGGGGCGTGCATCAGAGATTTACCTTGCAGTCTGGAATCCCGGGGACCCAGGACTCGCAGCAGTCCAGGCCGCCCCCCGGTGCAGCGCACTGCATGCTCAGCACGGAAGCCAGGCCCTAGCGACGTGTGCTCGGCGCGCGCATCCGGCAAACAGCAACCAGTGCGCGGCAGCGCGGACCGGTCCATTTGTGTCTGGGAGTAGGGAGAGAGCGCTACGTTCCTGGAGCCCGCGAGTTCCCCAAAGCCACCGCGAGGGACCTCTCGTACCAGCCGTGGGTGTGAGAATTAAGCCCTCTGCTGCTGCGGACACAGGCGAGGCGCAGCCAAGGCCTCAGAGACTGGGCGCTCCATCCGCCCCCGCCGCAGGGCAGTTGGTGCGTCCCCGCAGACTCCGCCCCTCCCGGGTTCCGAGCGCCGGGGCCCGCATGGCGGCCGGCACGCGCCCGGCGGCCGGTCCTCGGTCGCGAGACGCTATGGCCCAGTGGAGGAAGAAGAAGGGGCTCCGAAAGCGCCGGGGCGCGGCCTTACAGACCCGCAGCAGCGACTCGGAGGACGGCGAGTTTGAAATTCAGGCGGAAGATGACGCCCGGGTCCAGAAGGTACGAGCGCGGGACACACTGGGGCCGAAGACCCAGTTCTGGGCAGCGACCCGAGGCCTGTTTCCTCAGCTGGGGAAGGCGTATTGCAGACGGTGGGAAAGAAGTCTGCAGGCCAGGGGTCAGCACCGCCAGCCTGAGCATGAGTGTCGGGGCCAGCTGCCCCCAGGGTCCCCGGCCGGAGCCTTCCGATTCCGCGGCCTGGGGTCTTCGGGCCTTCCTATCGGGTTTTGGTCGAGCGCCCCTCATTGGCTACCTCCTGCCCAAGGGGCGGTTCCTAGTTTCCTTTGGTCCAATGAAAAGTGCGAGTGCAGAAAATCTGACTTTGAGAGTTTAGGACCTTCTCCGAAGGTAGAATTAAGGGGAGATCTGAGCTGATGGTTTGAGCTGGTGACTTCAAACCTCTGGGAAACTACGTGATAGTAAATTAAACTTGACTATTTACTATGTGCCAGGCTCCATGATAATGATTACAACCCTTATCATTTAATCCTCACCCGGACCTAAGTGTTGCTGTCTCTGTTTCTACAGAGGAAGCAACTGAGGCGTAGAGGGTGAAGAAACTTGAATATGACCTCACAGCATGTGAACGGGAGAGCCAGGGTTCTGGGACTGTCTGGTTCCAGGGCTGGTGCCATTTCCACTACTGAGTGTCATGAAGGCACGTGGAGAGGGGATTGGTGTGAGCACCAAGGGGGCAGAAGAGCTGTAGTCCATTACTTCTCACAGGTCCCCACAGTCCTGGGCCCATGTAGGGGCCCGACACAGATTAGGCTTCTACAGATTCCTCTTTGGCTTATGTGTGGTTCAGACCAAGGAGAGATTGCTTACTCTCTCTTGCCCCAGTTTCCTTATCTGCTTTCTAATGACAAATGATTGTATGTGTCTCAAAGATTGTTGAAAGATTAAATGCCAGGCTTTTCATACATCTTACTTATTCAGCAAATCTTACTGGGCCATCTGCATGTCTCAGGCACTTTGATTTTGAGTACCTAAAGCAGGAGTTGGTGCACTTTTCCTATAAAGGGCGAGATGGTGATTTTTTTTTTTTTGAGACAGAGCCTCAGACTGTTGCCCTGAGTAGAGTGTTGTGGCATCACAGCTCACAGCAGCCTCCAACTCTTGGGTTAAGTGATTCTCTTGCCTCAGACTCCCAAATAGCTGGGACTACAGGCGCCCACCACAATGCCCAGCTATTTTTTGGTTGTAGTTGTCATTGTTGTTTGGCAGGCCCAGGCTAGATTTGAACCTGCCAACTCTGGTGTATGTGACTAACACCTTAGCTGCTTGAGCTACAGGTGCTGAGCCCAGATGGTAAATCTTTTAGGCTTTGTGGGGGCAATGTAAGGTCATTATTTTCTTTGACAGTTTATTTCCTTCTTTCTTAGATAATCCTTTACCATGTAAAAGACATTTTTAGCCCACAGACAGTACAAGACAGCCTATGGCTCTGACCTTGAGGGTTATTGTCAATCCTAGAGGGTCAGACTGGGAAGAACATAGACTCTGAAGCCAGTGTTCAGATCTCTGGTCAACACCTTGCTGACTGTGTGACCTTGGGCAGGTCACTTTAACTTCTCTGTGCCTCGGTTTCCTTTTCTGTTAAAATAGACATAATGATAATATCCACATCATAGGGTTGTTATGAGAATCAAGTGGGTTAGTTTATATGAATGTGCAGAGCAGCACCTGGCTTGGTGCCATGTAAGTTTGAGCCATTCCTGTGAATTACTGTTCCACAAATGCTGTTTCTGAGAGGAAAGGGACACCTCTGTAGACTGAGAGGACACCCCAGAGGAGGCATCCAGGTTTGATTTAGCTGTGCTAGGACATCTGGGTCCCAGATGAGCAAAGAAAAGGAGGCCAAGGATGAGAGAGAGACTAGAATTGGGGTGATGGATCAGGAAGGAGATTGGCTGAGAGAGGCGGGTGGCAGGACAGCTTGGAAAAGTTTAATACTTCACACTTAGTAGGTGTTTTGATTAGCTCTTTAAAGGTTTCTAATGACAAGCCAGGATGATGATGGTGGTGGTGATGATATCACAGCTATGTACTAGGCACCTTTTTAAGCTTTAGGCTTACCCATTTAATTCCATCATGCCCTGTGAGGCCTGTGCTGTTGCCATCTCGTTTTCCAGATGTGGAAGCACAGGCTTAGGGAGATAATCCCTTGTCTGAGGTCTCACAGCTGGTAAATGGCAGAGCTGAGATTCTAGCCAAGGCAGTCTGTCTGCAGAGCCTACTCTAAACTTCTTCTTGTCCTAGCCCTGGCAAAAGAGAACCTGTTAGCAGAGAAGTTGTGTGATCTGGTGGGAGCATAATAGGCTTGAATGAGGGTGGGGCAGGCAATGGGATAGGCCCCCTCCCTATGCATAGTGGTCTTGATTGTGCCTAAAGTGATGTTGCCTCTGTGTTTCTCCCCTTGCAGCTGGGACCTGGCAGACCCCTGCCCACCTTCCCCACCTCAGAATGCACCTCAGATGTAGAGCCAGACACCCGGGAAATGGTTCGAGCCCAGAATAAGAAGAAGAAGAAATCTGGAGGCTTCCAGTCCATGGGTGGGTGAGCGAGCTGGGCATGCAGGGACTTGGGAAGCCGCAGGGGATCACCACACCCTCTGATCTCAGCTACAGATGTCCCCTCTAGGCCTAGAATTGTGGCATGTGTCAGATAGAGAGAAGGAGCAGATAGGGTCTCTAGAGTATTCAGAACCTTCTCAGTGGGGCCACCTGGCTTGACATAGGAGAGAACAGTTAGTGCAGGCCTTGGGAAAGACAGTGGTGGTGCAGGAATAGACTAAGACAATCAGGGATTTACTGCTCACTTTTCAAAGGGGGGGAAAAGATAGGATGGTGAGTGATATTGGGATACCTGGCTAGCCAGAAATAATGCTGAACTCTCTTGCTCTTTACAGATTGGTAGCAGTTGGAGCAAGGATTTATTGTAAATATCTATATGAGTATTTGTATAATCTTAGAAAAGAAAAGAAGACATTTTTAAGTATGGCCTGAGCAACATTTGAATTTTTTTTTTTTTTTTGAGACAGAGTCTTTGTTGCCTGGTAAAGTGCTGTGGCATCACAGTTCACAGCAACCTCAAACTCTCAGGCTTAAGCAAGTCATTTGCCTAAGCCTCCCAAGTAGCTAAGACTACAGGTCCCCAATGCCTGGCTGTTTTTAGAGATGGGGTCTTGTTCTTGCTCAGGCTGGTCTTGAACCTGTGAGCCCAGGCAGTCCACCTGCCTCAGCCTTTCAGAGTGCTGGGATTACAGATGTAAGCCACTGTGCCTGGCCTTATTTGAATTTTTTTTTTAGAGACAGTCTCTCACTTTGTCGCCCTTGGTAGAGTGCCATGGCATCCTCCAGCTCTTGGCCTTAGCGATTCTCTTACCACAGTCTCCCAAGTAGCTGGGACTATAGGCTCCCGCCACAACGCCTGGCTATTTTTTGTTGCAGTTTGGCCAGGGCCGGGTTCGAACCCATCACTTTCAGTATATAGGGCTGGCGCCCTACTCACTGAGCCACAGGTTCCGCCCTTGAATTTTTTTTAATTAGACATGTGTATGGGGTGGCATCCGTAGCTCATCCTACCCCGTGTATGGGGTAGGGCGCTAGCCACATACACCCAGGCTGGCGGGTTCAAACCTGGCCTGGGCCAGCTAAACAACAATGACAACTGCAACAAAAAAATAACCAGGTATTGTGACAGGTGCCTATAGTCCCAGCTACTTGGGAGGCTGAGGCAAGAGAATCACTTAAGCCTGAGAACTGGAGGTTGCTATGACCTGTGATGCCATGGCACACTACCAAGGGCAACATAGTGAGACTCTGTCTCAAAAAAAAAAAAAAAAAAAAAATTAGACATGTATATGCCAAAAAGCAATATAAGTTAATTTAATGTAAATGCTATACTGGGAATATATTTGCAAACTATGAGACAGACAAAGGGTTAATACTTCTAATATACAAAGAGTTCTTACAAATCCATAAGGAAAAGACAGGCCCCTCGATACAGAATTGGGGGAAGAAAATGAATAGTCTTTTTACAAGAGGAATCTAAACAGCCGGTTAATACATATATATCAACAAGGTGCAAAGATTAATCAGTCATCAAAGAAAAATAAGTAACAACATCTGTACATCTCTGTGTGAATATTTTTTGCCTTTCTGAACCAAGAAGATAAAAAATTAACCAAAAAGCAACTGAAACTTGGTGCTTTTCTATCTCCAGGCCTTCTACTTACCCTTATACCTGTAGGCGTCCGAGTCGTATTCAGTCTTTTTTTTTTTTTTGAGACGGAGCCTCAAGCTATCCCCCTGGGTAGAGTACCATGGCATCACAGCTCACAGCAACCTCCAACTCCTGGGCTCAAGCGAGTC